ATCAATACATTTATTTTGATTCAAGCAAAACCCATTTCATTGTCCTCGTTTTTTTCTGATAAGGTAATAATTTTATTATTGTTGGCCCATTTCAACTCATAAAAGCAGTAATTGTGTTAATTTTTCACATAAAAAAAATATTTAGGATTAAAAAAAATTCCATCTAATTGATAACCGAGAAATCCCCAAAGGCCAGTGGCGCACGATTTGAAGCTCGGTGAATGGACCCATCCTCTACCCTTCTCCACTTAACTACCAGGCTTTTGTCTATGGCAAAGATCCAACCCGTGACGTGCGCCTAGCCCACATATATGCACTGCGCTATTAGCACCATACCAAAGCCTTGGGGGCATATTAGGACAATTCTTGTCATGCAGATATTTCCAGAATATCAAAGATAAGTTTCTTTTCCAAAAATTCTTCATAAGCAAAAAACGACTTCGAATTATTACTTCTTTAATACGATTTCCGTCAATAAAGTTGTTCTAAATTCTAATAGCAGCATGAGATTTAGACAACTTTGAAATAATGTAGAAATATTGGAAGTCCTTCACATAACCATCCTACTATGAAGCAGCACAATGAAAAGGATTATTAAGGTATCTGAGAAAGATTTCCAACAGACCCTTCTACCGTTCTACTTTACCAAGGGCAGGCTTCTGTTATCTTTTGCGTCTTTTGCAATACAAAGAAATATTTGACAACTATATCCTTGAGATTTTCCATCAAAGTCATTTCAATAAAGGCAAGGCAACTCTTAAACAATAAACAGGGCACGTTCAACAAAGATTAAGCTTATCTTAAAGTCACTAGGCACGGACAAAGCAATTATATTTTGGATCTCCCAGTGAGCCATCTTGCATATAGCACATACAACAGAAAGCATTAGTGTTTTCAATCTAGAACCAGATCCTGGCTTGCACCTTAAATTCTTTTCACGCTTTTAATTCACAGTGACATTAACACACTACTTACAAGATAGTCAGACACCCCATGCTCAAATAGCTTCTCAATTGCAGGGAGAGCCTCGGGTCTGCAAAACAAACATGCAAATAAAAATATAAGAAGGCAGCAAAAGTGGTTTTTTTTTTCTATTTCATTATGTGTCATAGAGCTAAACAGGCAAAATATATACACGAATGAACAAATCAAGGGAATCTCTGTGTGTCTCAAAAATTATCATATTACATGAATAGTGTCAGAATAAACTCAATGTCATTTACATATATATCAGCCTGTACAAGCAAACCCATCATTTTTTCTAACATCTAAATCTGTAAGAGAAAAGGTCAGATTTGAGCATTACGCCATAAAACGTTCTACTCCATTTGTCTTCACCCTCCCATGGAGTTTCTCCATTCTTTGTCAAAATCTCCTCCCCATCCTTTTTCAACTATGGCTCATATACTAAAGCTAATTCGTTAACTCCAAATCTAAAGAAGTTTCTCTAGTAAATAAAGATCTGTTGCAGATTGGAAAATCATAAATACTTTCCATTTTCCCCTAGTTCTTTATCCACTCTGCACTCCCTTTGTTTTAAAGATTAGAACTCTCCAGTCGTTAATTTCTTCAGTAAGGATGTTAAAGTTGATGCCATTAATGACTTCTCTCTCTTGAACTTCAATAATAAGCTATTCAGAAATCAACAACAACAATAATAATAAAGTCAAAGTGAGTGAACAAACATACAACAAGAAATGAGATGCCCTCTTCATCTATGTCTGTTTCTTTTATTTTTTTCTCTCATCTTATCTTAAAGTGCAGACTGGTACATAGACATTCTTCAGATAACATGTAAGAAAAGTTACAAATTAATCAGAACAGGTCATGCAAGCTATAGAGAGGATCGTCTCAGCAAGCATGCATCGCCAAAGTGGAGAATAGCGAGCAGGATGGTTACATGATCTCAACATGGTGTCAAATCAACTTTTTTCAGAAGGTCGAGTCAACTTGTTAAACGGAAAAAAGAAAAACCCTGTTCAAAGAAGATTATGTACTATGTGTTCTCTATTTTAGCTTGGGAAATAGAGATCTCCAAACGAATTTGGATCTTCCCTCAACTTCAGTCTTGTTCACAGTAAAGTGGAAATGAGAGAACAATAAAATGTAGCAGTTGGATAAGTATTATTTGGGAAAGGAAAATACAAAATTTACAGAACAAACGTCCTGCTTTTTATTTCCTCCGCTCCCTTACTAATTAGAGATCCAACTGAGCATACAGGAGCACAAGTCTCTATAGGAGAGCAATACAATGTAAAACATACAGAATAAGTTCCACATAAATCTTATGTATTGTCCTTTCCTAGCCTTTCTATGGCCCTAACCTATACCATCTTTCATGCTTATCTACTGCCTTTCTATCACGAAGAACCTAAAGACTAAGTATGCCTCAATATCGTACAGATAATCTGTAAATCATCAAACAACATCCATTATTAAACAAAAAAGAAAAAGAATTTAAATAAGAAATAAATACAGTAGAAAAAATGAAAAGCGATACCCCGAAGAAAGAGATGTCTCGTCTTTAGTCCACTCCTGCCACATCTCAGAACTCAAAGGAAAAATAGTATTCATGGCTTCCCTTGCTTGTCTAAGCTTCTCTATATCCCCTTGCTTCCTTAAAGCTTTTATGTACTACACAGACACAAAAAAACATCGTATCATCAATCTCTAAACAGACAAACACACATACTACAGAAAATACAGAAAACAGCTCCAACTGATAATCGCTTCCAAAATGAAAAATCATTTAACCTCATAGAAAAAGGTAAACCAATAGTTTTAGTGAGCATTCATGGTGTGTTTTGTACAGAGGAAAATGTTCTCCACGAAAAGTTACCTTAGTCTATGAAAAGAATATGTTACCACCAAAATGGTTAAATGACTTTTCGCACTTGGACAGAATTCATTTTTCTTTACCAATATCTCAACTCTTACTCATATCACTTATTTCAGTGATCACCTGGACATAATCATTTATCTATTTTTTTGATTATTGAGAAACTGTCTAGTCCAACCTTTAGGACCATTCGAAAGGAGTAGTGGGCCTGCCGCTCTACCCTTCTCCACTTAAACACCTTATTTCGCATGGCCCAGAGCTTGAACCTGTGACGTAAGTCACAAGTCCCTCAACCTTTGCCACTTGAACTAAGCCCTGGGGTCTAGGCATTATTGTCAATCCCGTACTCAAAAATGTCATCAAAATACTATCCTTATACCTTATCTTACACCTTGTACGATTATCTGTTACTCCAATAGATAATGATTCGCAAAATATTCTCCATGGAACATATATTTCTTCCTACTAATTTGTGAATGAACATAGAGTGAGAGAGAGAAATACTTGAACATGAGCATCGTAATTGGAAGGGTTATTTAAAAGCTCAGTTTGTAGAGCTTGAATTTGTAGATTTTGCTGTGCGTCATCCTCTGAGTCGGAATCGGAGTCGGAATCCGAATCGGAACTTTTAGTGGATTTAGGGGCGTCGAGCATGTCTTCGTCATCGTTTCCGGTGGGATTTTCGTCGGGAAGTTGAGGTGGATGGGTAGTGGAATCTAGGGTTACGGTTTCCGCCATGTTTAAATTTTTACTTCAGCTTCCCGAAGATAGTTCTGCAGAATGTATTGCTATAAAATAGGATACTTGTGTGTCGCGATGCGACGCCGTTGAAAAGATCACTGTTCTCAATAGGCGTTTGGACATAAAAATGGTAGTTTCTAAAAAGATTAAAAAAAAGTATTATTTGGAGTTAATTGAAAAATAGTATATTTGGAATTGAAATTATGTTTAGATATGGATTTCACGAAAAAATATTATAATGCTTGAGTGGAGAGATAGAAAATTTCAAAAAAGTGATCAAAACTAATTTTTGATTTTTGAAAATTTCAGTTTCGAAAAATTTCAAAAACTTGTAAAATTTCATAAATAAGTATTTTTTTTTTTAAATCGAAAAAGGAAAAAAAATATCTACGTACACACAGGTCCTTAGTTGTGGTTGTTCGGAAAAAATAAATTATTTCTTAAATATATTTCAAATATTTTTTATTAAAATTTATGATTTAGTACTTTTTGGTATATGATTTCTAAAATATAAAAATATTTATTCACAAACTAATTACGTTCTAATTTACAATAAATTAGATACTCTAAAGCATGTGAATTTTTATTTTATTTTATTTTTTGGCTAAAAGGAAGTTTTATTCATAATATTGGGAGTAGCATTTCATTAGTAATAGAGGTAGTAAAGTTACTAAGAACATTTAGGTTACCACTTTTTGCTAAATCATTACAAACGCATAGTAGTATGCTTTGTAGAAACTAATCTATCTTTATCTCTGCTAGGACACAAAGTCCGATTTTTTCTTAAATATTTTGTTTGTAATACTTCTAAATTTATTTTTAAACTTTTATTACTGAATTAAAAGACGTAGTAAAGAATTAAATGTGTTGAATTTATGTTTTTGGATCGTGAACTTTTTTTGTGACAGTAAAAGTATTAAAATGGCAAAATAAAATTTTTTTTTTTTTTTGCACGAGAAAAAAAGGTTACTCATTCAAACAAATAATACCCCGAATCTTGAGATGTTTTAATAATTTTAAATTTGCAATTCCCTATCTATATATAACGAGTTAATAACTTTCAAATTAGATTTTCGATCATTTGGTTTATAAGGTACTTCGACTACGTAGTTATGTTACACTATGAACTCAACTTACTAAGAGTAAGGTTTAATTTTCATTTGTGAGTTTAGAACTTGAAAAAAGAAAAATTAATATTAATACAAAGTTAGTTGAAGAATAAGAGAATTATATGTATAGGGGATAACCTATCAAAAAGTAGATAGTTTTTTTGGTACATCTTTTTTTATTATATCAAGGGAGGAAATGGAAAAGGAAAGGAAAAAGAATAGGATGATGCTATGATATTGATGGGTGTTCGCCTCCATCTTAACCGTATAAAATGAAGTTGAATCTTATTAACGAGTCAAAGAAATCAATATTCACATGTGATTTTCAAAATGAAACTGAACATTAATTTACATAATCCATTACACTAATCATGTTTTTCGCATGACACTAAATTACATACAGAAAATGGTTACATTACATAAGTTTCTTGCAACATAACATTAAGTAACACAAATTAAACTTAATTAACTCACAACAACACAGGTGATTTAAAATAAAAAGATCACAGACAAAATATCACATGTGCACTTCTTTACATTGCAGCTTTAGTAGCTTTAATATCTTCACCACCAGCAGCAGCATTCCTTTGTTCAGAAATACTAATCACCTTAGGCTGCTTCTTCTCCTCCTCAGCCAATTTTGGGACAGTAATATTCAACACTCCATTCTCCAAATGAGCTTTGATTTGTTCCAAATCAGCATTTTTAGGAAGCCTAAATTGTCTCCAGAACTTTCCAGAAGTTCTCTCAGCTCTGTGCCATTTTTCACCTTCAACTTCCTCCTCTGTTTTCCTTTCCCCACTAATTCTCAACACTCTGTTTTCTTCAACCTCTATTTTAATATCCTCCTTTTTCATCCCTGGAATGTCAAGAGAAATTATATGTTCTTTTGCTGTTTCTTTCCAATCTGAACGAGCTAAAGCGATTGTTTGATCAATTCCCTTAGGAATTGCAAGTGGGGTTTGTTCAAGTATTTTGAAAGGGTCTTCTTGTGGGAACATTAAGTCCCAGAATGGGCGTGTGTATGGCATTGAAGCTTGGGTTTGTGAGGGTAAAAAGGCTATCACCATTGTTAAAACAAGAACTTTTGCTTTCTCCATTTTCTGTTGTATTGTATAGCTTAGATATTTGAACGGATTTTATAAGTATCCACTATTTTGACGATGTATTTTCAGTGAGATTTTTTGCTGATTATAAGAATCGCATAGTTGCTGCTTATATAGATGTTGAAACAGAGGCAGAGTGTGGTTCAGGAAAATTCTAGGATTGGTCTACAAGTTTCTGGAGCAGGAATTTGCATGGCTTGACTATTCTCGATCATTCAAGAGGCTGAGAGAAGTAAGAATTCAAGAGTTGTAGTCATCTGACCAATAATTATGTGCCACGTGTACAGATTACGTGCTCAATCCATGTCAAATGATTAATGCCCTCTTAAAGTTAAGTTTTATCTCTTGGAGTTGTAGTGACCTTACAAATAATAACGTGCCATTTTTGAGTATTGCCTAATCCGTTCATGTCGAATTATTATAGGTCCTTTTAAATTTAAATAATCCAGTAAAAGATAATTTCGCAACTTAATCATTTAAAAATTAAAACTTACAACTAGTTTTTTTTTTTTGGTATACTGAAAAAATTAAATAAATGTCTTAATATCTTTCATAGGCTACATGATTTTTGTCTATTAGGAAAACAAACTCCATTTTGTTAACCAATATCTTCCCAACTAACAAATCTTCACCGTCTCCTGGCAAAAGTCTGTACTAATAAAATGATGATTATCTGAGAAAGATTCTATATGGAAACCAAATATAATCGTATATGTTTTAGCTATCAAGCACCACAAACATAAACTAGCAAATAGTATATTTTTAACTTTCTATAATTCTAAATTTGGTTATACATCTGCAATTTGGTTATCCGAAGATCATCAAATCTTATGGACCAACCCTATTCATGATTTTATCAGACTCACTTATCCAAGAATTGTGTAATATTCATTAATGTCTCCCCAATACAAGTTTCATTTCACTATATTCACTATACATGCCAAGACACTAGGTAAATGACAAAATGAAATTTCTTTAATGATAGTGGTGTCCGAACTAATAGCAGCGTACTACAACCACAAGTGCAAGTGAGCCATAAACCTCTCCAATAAGACTAGCGTAAACGCATTCATACAAGTGTCAGTAAATTTGAACCTCAGATCTCTAGGTTGTCACTCTTATACCTCAACCATTCAGTTGGGAACTAAAGGTCAAACTTCATTAATCAGTTATATCTGAAATTAATGAGGCATTACTAAAGGTTTAAGAATTAATATTTCCAAAAATATAAAAGCAAACCTCACTAAACAAAGTGGGCAAAAAAATGATGGTATTTACTAGTATAATAAAGGTAGTGTGAGACCTGAATCATTGGCTTCCGTAGCTGGTTATAGCATTTGCATTTCATACTATACAACTGCTAATATTTTGCAGTTTTGTTATTTGTAGTAAGAGTTTCTTTACTAGGATCTGATGTTATAGCTGTCTCATGAGCTCCAGGAGGACTCAGTTTGTAGTCTAAACCAGCTCCATATTGCCAAGCCTCAAGTCGGCGCTTCCATTCGTATCTCACCTTGGCTGGAAATGAACCTATCAATGGCCTAATATAGAATGATAGTTGTCAGTGACTACGATATCTAGTGACAATGCAAATATCAAGCACAAAACGGAACTGTGTGTTACAAAAGCTCATTACCTAATTGCAGGGTCGACGAAGGTAGAGAGAAATGTATAGTATCCCAACATGAAAAAATGTCCAGACCAGTCAACAAGCACAGGAATTCCAACCTGAAAAATCATCTGGAGTTTAGTCTTCCTCACTAAGATGCAGCACAGCGTTTACACATTTAGATATATCAGAATAGTACAGATGCTACAGAGTGAAATGACTCGTATTGATCTATTTAGATGACAGATCTAATTCTGTGTCCTCTCTGAATTTGTGATACTCAAAGTCAGACCAGAAGGAGAAATTGCAGCTTGTTAAGTTTTATAAGGTTCTTGTGAAACATAACAATCTCAACTTTGCAACACCACTCCCTTTTACTCTCACCAGCCTAAAAAAGGAAGAAGAAGTATTTTCTAAGTGATTTTATCTATAATGCCTTTGGCCAACATGCACAAGCAATTTGATGCTTAAAACAATGCCACAAACTATAAACATATTTTACTGCAGGAACATTAAAAATGTGTAGTTCAGTTATTACATGCTTTTCGTGGATTTATAATTCCTGTATCAATTAAGGATGTTAGATAAATGTGAAGAAAGAAAAACTTGTTGGGAACTAATAGAGCGAGTAATTCAGAAGATGAATATAATTTGGTGTGTAGCACTATTTGACGTACAACTCGTTGTCACAATCTAACAGCCATAAAATGGTGGCTGTTGCATTGGACTTTATGGAGAGCACCCCAGTCAAGCCATTAGGAAACTCGTATCTTGAAGGATATGACATTAACAATAGAAGAAAAGGAGCAAGGTGCGGGTGCAAAAATGAGTAATGAAAAAAGGTAGCCATATATTTACCTGCTTGAATATTGATGGAATAATCTGAGGTCTCGTTAACATTACAAGGCCTAATGTTTTCACAAGAGGTCCAAACTGTATAACATCCTATATCAATTGAGATGAAAGGAAATTAGTTCTAGATATAGAAACCGTATACCACAATAAGAGAACTCACCTGAAGAAAAGGTCTCAAGACAGGATCCCCTAGTTTCTGCAAGTAGACGACAACAAGATAAGGGTAAAGAACTCAAAATCCTATACTAAAAATGTTAAAGCATTCAACACCTTACCAAATGATGATGGCATACCTGCATACTCATGAAATTGGCAAAAAGAAGTTCATTGACGAAATCTGGTGGAACATTGGACTGTTTCTTTGCTGACATTGCCCTTTGAAATAACCAGGAAGAACTCAAGTTCGGCTGCAGAACATAATACATAAGTATGGTGATAGTAGAGTTATTCAAGTGTTAATGCATCAGCTGAAAACTCACCATGTAAGGATTCAACAAGGACAAGCTTCTGGAGTCTAGAAAATTGCCTTCAAGTGCTTCATATATACCTTGTACCCAAAGGAAAAGACCAAAAATATCAGTGCACTAGAAGCCATATTCTTTTTCCAAGCAGGAATATACCTATTATGCACACGCTCATTTGCTTGTTAAAAGTTAAGGAGAGGATGTCGATAACAGCTAAAGCATGTAATGATCAAAATTAAGCAGCACAAGAAATCTGCAATCTTAATTTTCTTTCAGCTAGTGCCTAAAATGCCAAGTACGTTTCAAGATTTATTCGAAGGCTGGTAGTCCATTAGGATGGGTCACTGATAACAGGACACAGCTAAATTGATAGTAATTGATTAGCTGTAGTGCATTTGAAACATTCTGGCAATGCCAGATAAAAAGCAGCTGACAAGTACCAGTATAATCTCTCCCCTCGTATTATAGCTAATGATTTTCCATTTCCTTGGAAACCTTCTTTTTGCTTCAACTAGTGTTTAATCGACAGTTTTATTGCATTCTCCATCCCTCTATCATGGATGAAAACGAAAAAACAAGGGAATCAAATAAAGCATAGAGAAAAACAACTTCAGAAAAAGAAACGTGCAGTCCTAAGATCTACAAACCTCAAAGCACCAACCTAACACATTTTGTTGAATTAAACTGGTCAAATATCTAGAAGAGGAAAGCTGGTTGACATATGCGTTATTAGTCTTTTCTTCTTGAAAGAAGGTTTCATATATTAGCAAGATGTTATAGATTGAGGTAAGATAAGATAAACTTTTACCAGTAGTCAATCTCCCCAAGTGCCTAGTCAAACTCCCAAAACCACCAAAAGAAACTGGTGACTGTATGCCGCTAGCATCCCCAAACTGTAGAGATTCAAACTCATGTATTCTGTTGATATGTAATTGCAATGTATCATGGCTTTAAAGGGTTTGATGAAACACCTGTAAAATACGATCAAAAGCTGCTGGCAATGGACTGCCATCAAAATGAAAGGGAACAGAATTATCAGAATAGTAAGAAAGTAAAGCGACCAAGAACTTTTTTTATAATAACTCCTGGCTTATAAATATACCAAAAGTCATGTATCAAAATGCAAGGAGTTGTATATATTTGAGCAGTGAGGAAATGATGCAACTCTCATTTTGTTGCATAAAAAGGACGCTACAGTTATTCAATTATCGAAGGAAAAACAAATTAAGTTAGGTGGCAAGTGAAACAACAACAGCATCTTATGGATATAAATCATGTCCTAAGCACAGAACTTAAAGTTAATGGTTACCTGTCTCTATACGTTGGGAAAATGCCATATATTATCCTCAAGATTTCCAGATCATCGAAAGACACGCCCTACAAGTTCAAAAATGGAAGAAATTAGCAGTTGAATAGATCACTAAGGAGAAACAGCAGTTTATACAACAAGATAGCAGTTACTGTCAAAATCCAAAGCACTGAACCTACACAGCTAATCCAAACAACAAAAGCAATAATATGAGTCCCTTGGTTGATATTTTTAACCGACATCAGATCTTTCAGGGGTTAATTTTCTTCTGAAGAAAATCGGTTGCAAGGAATATCAACAAGCTAAATCTTCCAGAGTAAGAAAAAGAGGAAAGCAGAAGTATGCCAGACATAAGCCTTAAATAGCATACTCCAAAGTTTACCTGGTACTTTGGCATCAAATCCCAGTAATCTTCTAGTAACTCCTCCAGCTGTGGAGATCCGGGTTGAGGATCAACATAAGTGAACATATAAGTGGTTCGGTCCCTAGTACCCGAGCCGGCAGGAAATGCCTGAAGATCATGAGAAAATTGTTATTTGCTAAGCACAAAAATTTTCCAAATTATGATGTGCAAGATATTTTAAAGCATCTTAGCGGTTCACATTGCATGATTTCCAATTACTTTGATCATTTTACCTCCCAGAAATATTGGACTACTGACTGGCTTGTTTCTTTAATGGAAGCACTGCTAAATATGACATCACTTGTAGAGTTCTCCTTAAAACCACGGCAGCAAGTTCCAACCACAAGGCACATACCATCTGGTTTCCTTCCACATCTAATCTAAAGCAATTTTCAATCATAAGAGCCAGTTCAAGACATTAGGAAATGAACTAATAAAAGAATCTAAGAGAAAGT